AGGTAGGTAGGTAAATAGATGATAGATAGATAGATAGATAGATAGATAGATAGATAGATGATAGGTAGGTAGAGAGATAGGTAGGTAAGTAGATAAGTAGGTAGGTAGGTAAATAGATAAGTAGGTAGATAGATAATAGATAGGTAAGTAGATAAGTAGGTAGGTAGGTGGGTAAATAGATGATAGGTAGATAGATAGATAGATAGATAGATAGATAGATAGATAGATAGTAGGTAGATAGATAGATAGATAGATAGATAGATAGATAGATAGATAGATATCATCTATATCTCTCCATCCATCCATCCACTCACCCATCCATCCAAGTTGACTCAGCCTTCCCTCCTCTGAGGTGGGTAAAATGAGGACCCAGATGGTTGGGGACAAGAGGCTGACTCTGTAAACTGCTTAGAGAGGACTGGAAAGCACTATGAAGCGGTATATAATGCTAATGCTATTTATTTATCTATGTCTTACCTCTCTATCTATCATTCAGTCTCTCACTGTTTCTCTCTCTCTCTCTCTCACTCTCACTCTCACTCTCACTCTCACTCTCACTCTCTCCCTCCCCATGCCTGCCTGTCTAGTATTTCTTCCTGTCTGTCTTTCTGTCACTCACTCACTCACTCACTCACTCACTCACTCACTCACTCTATCATTTATCATCTTATCTATCTGTCTGTCTGTCTGTCTGAATGCATCATGGTAGGCTAACTCTGCCCACTGCCAGGAAGTTCGATCCTGACCAGCTCAAGGCGGACTCAGCCTTCCATCCTTCCAAGGTGGCTAAAACGAGGACCCAGATGGTTGGGGGCAAGAGGCTGACTCTGTAAACTGCTTAGAGGGGGGCTGTGAAGTTCTGTGAAGTGGTCTATAAGTCTAAGCGCTACTACTAAGTGCTAACAAAAGTGGCAAAATGGGGCCAAACCTGACTTCATAAATGTCTCACTTGGCCACAGGGATTTTGAGCTCAGTTGTGGTCATAAGGCGAGGACTAGGCTGTAGGGTAGTCCTTACCTGGCTAGATTTCCAGTCTGGTCTACCTGGTAAGGCTGAGAAGACCATAGGATCTTTTGTTAAGGACAGCCTAGGGTGGGATTCTACCGGTTCACACCGGTTCTATAGAACCGGTTGTTATGATTCTGCCCAGTTCGGAGAAGCGGCAAATCATACCCCTGGCTGGCCCCACCCCTTCTTATTGCACATGTGCAACATGGCACGCATGCCCAACATCACTGACTGCGTTCTTCCCCACCCAGTCACTCCTTAAGGCAGGGGTCCCCAACCACCGGGCCGCGGACCGGTACCAATCTGTGGAACATTTCCTACCGGGGCGCCAGTTTGCTGGGTGCCGCCATCTTGTTTGATGAGAAAGTGCTTCCGGGTGAGCTTTTCTGGTTGGAAAACGGCATTTGGGTCCTGAAGGAATCCTCGCGCCTTAGTTTCATCGAGGGGGGGGGGCTTCGAACGAAACTAAGGCGCGAGGATTCTTTCAGCACCCAAGGCAAAGCGAGCCGTCCCATCAACAAAGGTATAAAGGAGGAGTTGAAGGTGGCGGGGAGAAGTGGGGGATGGCTGGCTGGCCGGTCGCTCGGCTCGCCTTGCCTTGTCATGCGTGCTGATGCCGGTCCCGGGCCGCGGATCATTTTATGATGCCGGTACCAGGCCGTGGCACAAAAAAGGTTGGGGGCCACTGCCTTAAGGTACTAAGGTGCTGCATACTCCTCTTACACTCCAGTTTTTACTTTCCTAAGCCCCAGGGAAGCCTTTGGGGAGCCAAAATGCCCCCCCGAGAAGCTTCCCTGAGGCCCAGAAGCCCCCCCCCCCAAAATGGAAGGGGGTGCTGCAAAAAATGCCACGCCTACCCAGTCACGTGGCCACACCCACCTAGCCATGCCACCTAGCCACGCCCACAGTTGTTACAAAATGTGAATCTCACCCCTGCGTGGCCTGGTATCCCAATCTTACCTCCGGGACAATGTCTCTTCATCCGACAATTCCGGGACTCGGACAGCTCTGGACACAGAGCCGCCTCATCTTTCTCGCTCCAGAGGGTCTCCCGGACTCGGCTCTCTGAGCCCCATTTGTACCCACACATCCGCCCTTGCTTGGTGCAGGGGCTCCAACTGCTCCAGGGGGCTGCCTCACAGTTTTCTGGGGCGGCGGGGGGGGGGGGAGAGGGAGAGATGGAAGAGAATGGTGAGACTCAACGAGGACTAGAATCTTGTCAGTTGCCATGCCGTGGGGTCCTTGGTGCTCTCTGAGCTTGGGTGTTTTCTTGCAGATGCTTCATGTATTAGGGTTTCCTGCCTAGGCAGGGGGTTGGACTAGAACAGGGGTCGCCAAGCTTTTGGACCTCAGGGACCACCAAACTCATTATTTTAAGTCCTGTGGACCAGAGACCCTGGGGAAATCCCCCCAAAAATTCTGCAGGAAAATCCCCCACCCCATTTTCCTACCGATCGATCGATCTTTATTTGGGATTGCAGGATGCCGTCTCCAGCTCCGTTCTCAGGGGGAGAAAGAGAAAGACAGAGAGACTTTGGGCTTCATGCAAGGAAAGCAGCAGAAGCTGCAGAAGTCTTTCTTTCTCTCCCCCAAACTCCGCCAGAAATGAGTCTTTGCCGGCGCAGCCTCTTGGAGCAGGAGGCCTTGCAGGGTCCCAAAGACTCATTTCTGGCGGAGTTTGGGGGGAGAGAAAGAAAGACTTTGGCTGGTTTCCTTGCATGCAGCCAGAAGCAGAAGAAGAAAGAAGCGGAAAGAAGCAGCCCGGTGGCCAGGCCAGGTGAGTAGTGCAAGTTTCCCCCTTCCGCCCTTTCCCTCCACCCCTCACTACCTCGTGTTGTTTGCAATGCAAGTGACGCAAGCCTTGTGTTCCCACTCGGCCTGGATTAATTGCTTTGGGGGCGACCACCAAAATTTTCTCACAGACCTCCAGGGTCCCTTCCACCTCTGTTTATTCTATTCTATTCTATTCTATTCTATTCTATTCTATTCTATTCTACTCTATTCTTTTCTACTCTATTCTATTCTTATTTCTATATTCTAGTCTATTCTAATTTCTATAACCTATTCTATTCTATTTTCTATTCTATTCTATTCTATTCTATTCTACTCCACTCTATTCTATTCTGATTTCTATATTCTATTCTATTCTAATTTCTATAACCTATTCTATTCTATTTTCTATTCTATTCTACTCTACTCTAATTTATATTCTATTCTGTTCTGTTCTATTCTATTCTATTCTATTCTATTCTATTCTATTCTATTCTATTCTATTCTATTCTATTCCACTCCTATTCCTATTCCTATTCCTATTCCTATTCCTATTCCTATTCCTATTCCTATTCCCTATTCTATTCCATTCCATTCCATTCCACTCCATCCCATCCCATTAAAACAAATTTAGCAGGTTATGACCAAAATAGGGAACATCATCAGGGCTAGAAGGGAGAAGGATTTGTGGAGAGAGGGAGGAGGACTGTGGATTCTTGGTGCTTTCTAAGCTGGGTTGTTTTCTTACCGACATTTCATGATCCAACTAGGTGACCCAACTACATCACCATCTGTGTTTGAAAGGAATGGGGTTTGCAGAATGAAATTTAAGGAAGAGAAGGGGGGAAGGAGGAGGAGGAAGAGGAGGAGGAGGAGGGGGAGTGTAGGGGCCTTGGTACTGTCTGAGTTTGATGGTTTTCTTGCAGACGTTTCATGACCATACTAGGGAACATTATCAGTGCTAGCAGGGAGTGGGGCTCTTGGAAAGGAGGAGGAGAAAAGGGGAGAAGGGAGGAGGAAGGAGAAAGGAGGACGACTGTGGATTCTTGGTGCACTCTGAGCTTGCGTGTTTTCTTTCAGACATTTCTTTACCCAAACTAGGTAACATCATCAACGCGAGAAGGGAGTGGGGTGTGAGGAGGAGGAGGAGCAGCAGGAAGAGGAGGAGGAGGAGGAGGAGGAGGAGGAGGAGGAGGAGGAGGAGGAGGACTGTGGGGCCCGTAGGGCTCTCTGATCTTGGTGGTCTACTTGCTCACACTAGGTAACACGAGTCATGAAACGTCCGCAAGAAAACCGCCAATCTCAGAGAGCACCGAGGACCCCACGGTTCGATTCCCGAGCCCCCGATATTCTCTTCGACCAATTGCCAAGCTCCTCGTCCGTCTAGCCCAGCTCTGAGCTGATCCTGGGTGGTAGTGAGTCCCTAGGTGGGCAGAGGACGCAAGCCAAGCCCTCTCTGGACCTCAGTTCAGCTTGTGGCGCAGTCGGTTCAACGTTGCTTTTGCACCCGATTGTTCAGGATCCTCCCTCCAGGATGCGGTGGGGAAGTAGGTGGGGCTACTCCCTCCTGCAGCCTGGCCTTACCTTGGCATTCCCGGGTGCTGTGCCAGGCCATGGTGTCAGGAGGACAGGTGCTTAAGCATTTCCCTTTGTGCAGGTAGAAGCGCTCTTGGCATCGCATGCAAAAGTCTTTGCTGAAACAGCTCTCGCAGTTGGGCGACCGGCATTCTAAAAAACAGAGAGGTTTCGTGTTAGAAAAAGCCACCTTTAAACTCAGTCTAATTCCTGGCACGCCCATACGGCTAGTCCTCAGCGTACGACCGTAATGGAGTCTGTCTATCAGAGAGAGCCAGTTTGCTCTAGTCCAGGGGTAGGATTCAGCCGGTTTGGCCCGGTTCGTGAGAACCGGATATTAACGTTTACAATGTGGTTCGCCAAAATGGTAGTTGAACTGACTGGCTGGCTACGCCCACCCTGCCTCTCCCCTCCCCTTCCCAGGAGTCTCCACGCGGCCCGTTTTAGATGCAGGTAAATGCAGGGTCCACACGGAGGCTCTGGGGGGGTTAAAAAAAACAGCCCCCCGGAAGTTCCAGAAGTCCGGAAACAGGAAATGTTTCCATTTCTGGAAAGCCTCCGGAGTCCGGGAGAGGCCCTTTCCACCTTCACAGAGGCCCGAGGGAAGCCTCAGGACTATGGGGAAGGTGAAAAATGAACAAACCGGAAGCTCCGGTAGGCCACGCCCACCCAGCAACTGGGCAGAGAACCAGTTGTTGGGATTTTTGACTCCCATCCCTGGTCTAATCTAGTGGTTAAGATACCAGGCGAGTAACCAGAGACGCTGACTTTGGTTGGATGACTTTGGGTCAAGCATTGGGGGACTGGGAGTCTAGTCCTGCCTTAGCTATCGAAGTTAGCTGAGTAACTTCGGGCCAATCACAAGATGATGGTGGTCTCTAGTTCCACCTTAGGTATGAAAGGTGGTTGGCTGGCTTTGGGCCAATCACCAAGAGAAGGTGAGTTCTAGTTCCACCTTTAGGCACAAAAACTGACCGGGTGAATTTGAGGTAATCATCAGGAAACTGGGAGTTCTAATCCTACCTTAGTTATGAAAGCCGTCTGGCTGCCTTTGGGCCAATTACCAGGAGACGGTGAGTTCTAGTCCCGCTTTAGGTACAAAAGCTAGTCGGGTGATCTTGA